TCTTACAAGACAAAAAATATACTCAAGCAGCAGATATTTATTCTTTTGGTATGGTTGCCTATGAGTTGTTTTCTGGTTCACTTCCTTTTCATGAAATTCCTCATGATTTTGATTTAGCAATGAAAATTTGTCAAGGGTTGCGACCAAATTTAGACAATGCTCGAGTACCCCAAAAGTTAAAAAATTTAATTAAAAGATGCTGAGATGCTGACCCTTTAAAACGACCGAACAGTAAAGAGTTAAGCAAAACTTTAGGTATCTGATATATTTTTGAAAATGGCGAAGACGATGTGGAATTTGACCAGCAATACAAAGAGATGAAAACCAAAGAAGAGGAAGTACTACGCGACTCTCTTCTTAAACTTTATCAGGAACTAAAAGGGCAAACTAAAGAAATAAAAACGGAAGAAGTGTGAAAAATAAAACAAGAGTTATTTTGAGAATTTTGTAGGAAACATAATTATAAAAGAGATTCGGAGGAAACAAGAAAAAAATTTGAGTTGTTATTCCCAGAGGCTATTCGTCGCTCAGTTAATGATAATCGTCATTCCCGTGCAATTTACCACAGCAGGCTTCTAAACACTAAAGGACTTCCTTGTCCGCAAAACAATCATTCTCAAGAATGGCAGGCTTCTACTTTTTTAGAATTGCTAAGAAATTCCCAATCAGGCAATAAAGTTTCTCGAGCTAGCATATCTCAACCAGTGGAAAGCATTAGTGTTTACTTAACCGAGCAAGTAGAAAATCTTAATATTCAAGAAGACTCAACTGAAACTTCCCTCCAAGCCCAAATTCAAATTTCTCCAAAGTAATAGTAAAACAAATATCATGATTGAATTAAAACAAATTAGCGACCAAGAACTTTTACAAGAACTAAGTGATCGTATTGAGTGCTCAAAAATTCAAGAAAAAGATTCTAAAATAATTTCTCTTAAAATTAGCGAGGAAAAGTTGTTTGTCCAATTAGAAGACGGGAGAGAATTAAGCATTCCTATTAATTGATTTACCAAATGAGGAGTTAGGGACGTTACGGCTGAAAAACTGAGAAGGTATGAAATATGAAGAGGAAAAAACATCTTTTTTTCAGAAATTAAGGAAGTATTAGGAATAGAAAAATTTCTTGGTGGTTTTAATGCTCCTTGTCAATAAATGTTTAGTATGCCAGCGTGAAAGATAAAAGGTTATTGGTGCTATTTCAAAGTGGGAGAAGTACTAGAAAAATACGAACCGGCTCATATTCATATCGAAGTTTCCCAAGGAGAAATAGAATTTTGATTAATCGGGCCCAATGCTGAAAAGGTAAAGAAAATTGAGGGTTATGTTTCCTCAAGTGAGAAGAGTGAAACAGAAGAAATTGTTAAGGAAAAGAAAAATTTCTTTTTAGAGGAATGAGAAAAAATTAAAGCAAGAACCAACTAAAGTTAGAAATAAAGTTTCTTATTAAAACTCAATAAATACCTGACCATTTTATGAATTAGAAATATTTACCCGATTGATTAATTTTGAGCTCACAAAAACATTTGTTTCTCTTCGACTTTTCCAAGCCTCATTTTTTGATCCTAACCATTTAATTTATGAAGAACACGAGTTTTCTAAACTAACTAACATGACTTGTTTATTTAGCAAGGTTGATTGTCACAACGAGTAAAATAAGCAAAGCAAAAACCTTTTTTGTTGATTGCCTGTTTTAAATTTAAGTAATTTTATTTCCCACTCCCAACTTGCTCGCCGTTTTTTTACCAAATTCTAGCAAAATTTACCACCCCGTTTTCTGGATACGAATTCATAAGCGAATTTACTAGCAATTTCAGCTAATTTTTTTAGCCGCAAGATTGCTAAAATAAATGGTTTATAATATATTATATGGAAAGTAACAGAACGCAAGTTCGCGAAGAACAACCAAGCCAAAATTGCCCTCATGTTACAGTTGAAACTGATACTGAGGAAGAGGAAAGCGAGGAGGAAACAATGGTTAACGATCAAACCGAAGATGCTGAGGAGGAAGAAATTATTTTGCCTCGCCAAGAACCAAAACAAGAAAGAACCCAACAACAGCAAAACCCGGAACCACCAAGAACTCCACAACGAAGCGGTTGAAAAACGGCCGGAAAAATTGCGACCGGAGCAGGTGTAGGACTAGCTGTGACCGGCGGTATCGCGTATTATGGTTATTCGGTTTTATGAAAACAACCCCTGACTTACGGAATGGCTAAAGCTGGTACGGCTCACGCTATAAAGGCCGGGCTTACTGCGGGCGAACTAACTAAAAGTTATATGGC